TGAAGTAAAACAAAGCATGCCCAAGGTACTGAAGTAATAACAAAGTGAAATATAGAAAATAATCAAAAGAAAATAGAAAATAAAGTAGAAAATAGGTTGTCCCCTAACAGGCATACACCATGCTGCTTTCAGCTGCTGCCTGAAATAACAGGAAATTCCTGTGGACTCCTCTATATGAGAAGTGTTTCCAACAGATAAAACTGCTGGCATGTAGATCACCTATACTAAAGGCAATCAATTCTGAACTGGATGAACCCATATGGGTTATAACTGATGGTTGTCAGTCAGGTGTTGGCACTATGTATGGCCAGGGCAAAGACTGGGAGACCTGTCGCCCAGCTGGATTTTTATCCAGGAAATTCAATATGATGCAGCATAACTATACTGTGCCTGACCAAGAAACTCTTGCCAAATGGCAAGACAAATTATTAGGACGAAGGTTTGTCCTCATGACAGACAACACAGGTCTGTCCTACTTTCAAACTGCTCCACAGCTGTCACCATGATAAGTGCACTGGATGTAATCCTTATCTCATTTTAATTATGAGACTATGCACAATGTGACGAGACGGAATGGAGCTGGATGAAGTGAAGGAAAAGAACTAAAGAAAAGACATACACAAAAGGCTGATTCAGATTCAAAGTCTGCAAGTGAAGTGTTCCCAGACCTATACTCCCAGTCAAACTACAGAGATCACAACACAAACATGTTAACTCTTTACAATGTCATCAGAGATAATGAGTATAGAAGAAACTATCATGGAAGAATGTATGTAATGGTCATGTAGCAACAGAGGAGCATCACAATGTATCTTTAAATAGTGTCACAAAAGGTGAGAAGGCCTCGATCCTTGTGAAATAGCATCCGATCGCCAAGCTCATTCACCAAACCCCAATATCAAACTGAGGATGAAACTGAGTTATCTTGAAAACCTATCTCCAACAAAATATTCTCGGCAGCATAACCGGTAAACTAGGTTCAACACACATCTTCAAGCAAGGTTCACCTGAAGGTAACGCAATGTATGGTTTATACACAGGCGAGTTGTCATAATTGTCCAAGCAGGAGGGAGAGTTCTATGATCAGAGGAGGATTAGAGTGGTGTTGAGAGGATGAGGTTAATGAGAGACAGAAGGATCATCCAGCCGACCAAGACCAAAAGAACGGAAAACAAAGTAAAAGTGCTCACAATCTGACTCCATATACCACTATGACATGAGATCCCCACACGTGATGCAACTGATTATACCTCAAGGTGCACATGAAGTCCAGCACAGGAGAGCGAGAGCAAGTTGGGTGAAGGAGCTGGCGTTGTAGGCGGGAAGGATCATATTACCTGATATTGTTCGGAATTGTACATCGAACAAGTAAGACAGTGAGAGCTGAAGGAGATAGTCCAAAGAGAAGGTTAATGATGTGGTGGAGTGCATTAAGGAGGCAGACGTATTCAGATACAACTGTACATTCTTATGTACAAAATATGGTGGTGGATTCGTAAGACCAATCAATCTTTGAAAAAGTGATATCTACTCACAATTTAACCTTGCACTGCACCTGACGCAGGAAACATACGCTGCAGTATTACCACCTCTGTCATGCTTTAGTAAGCACTGGGTATATACCATGGCTCCCATATACCGCTCATTCCAGGGGAATGTACGTCCTCTACTGGGTATGGGCCTGTTTTGGATTGACCGATTCTTTGTCCTCTCCTTTTCTCTTCTACGCACTTCTCAGTATCCTTCCGGTCTGTTCTCCATCTGTCCATGTGTCCTATGCTCGCGTGGAGGATTTTGGACGGGCTGTCTTCAAGCTCCCGTCCCTCTCTGCTGGGATTTGCATTGGTCCAGTAGTCATAATGAATCGCCTTTTTCCACAGATGTCACGAAATAGTGCCGGAAAGACATCACGGTCGGATATTACGGACTTCGCTGAGTATAAATTATACCCATGCTTCTTCAAGAAACAATATCTGTTCAGCTAAAAGTGCTGTTTATTACTACCTTAGACTCTTATTGGATGCGTTTTTCGGTCCCGGCTGTAACGGCCGCTGTTCGGGCGTTTTTAGCAGCCTATCTGAAAGCCTGTCATCTATAGGGCTCACTGAGCGGTCACACAAGTTAACAGGACCACTGTGTATATGTCGAGAACGAGGACAGTCTACATGTGTACGGAGTACGGGTTACAGGTTCGGTGCTTACGTAAGTAGTCCAATAGTGAATATAAGGAAAGCTGTGAAAAATTATAATGGTAGCGCGGAAGACTGGTTGCCCAGGCTTACACTATCCTCGCACTAGAAAAGAGAGCAGATTGATAAACATCGCCGATTCATGCATCTTGTCCTCTTACTTAATTTATCAGATTGTTGTTTCCGTACTCATAACCCACCCAAGCTGCTTCAGAGTCCATGCGTTCGGAGCGCTGCATATCCTGAAGACAGATATTTTCGTAGCCTTTCTTAGCCATCCGGTGGGCGAGTCTTGTCGGACATTCCTAGAATAGCTAGTCTCCGCGTTTCAAATGAGCGAGTAAGTATGTTCGGAGATAGATTACAACATTATTCAGCCATTCACAAAAGAGATCGATCGTGCAGAGCCAAATACTGGTTGATCAGCCGGAAGTCTCTTTTTTTTCAAGCACGATGGTGTTTTGCATGATAATGATATGTACCTATTGGAGGCGCGGTCACTAAATCAAACAAAGAAACTCGCCTCATATATCAGAACTAAAGCAACTGGAACTAACTTTCTTATAACCTGTTACCACCTCCAGAGGCACCAATGCTACTACTACTAGTAGGTCAATGTATATGTACACATCAAATATTCAACATGGACCGTGACTTGACAGATGGGGCAGAAGCTGCAAACCTATTGAAAATAAGCAGCTGAAGGACATTGTCTTGATTGAAGATACACCTCGAGCTGAAAACGATCTGACAATGTCGACTTATCTTGAACCTGTATGTATCGTCGTCCACGCGGGACCGTCGAGCTTGAGGTGCCCACATTAACATACTTAACCATACAAGGCAGAAGAGCTACGATTGGGTAATTTTTAATAATCATTAGGCAACTTGAATACGAATGGATAAACAGACGACTTTGATACGACCAAGTTCAAGTTTACTGTTTACTTAACATCGCGAACAAGAAACTTGGAAAGGAACGGAACATAATACATAGCGGTTCGAATTCGAAGTGCTCTGCTAAGTCTAGGTAGGCTATGAGTTGCTATGCTAGAAAAAATCCCTAGTTTTATACAAGTCTTAATATTATAAGTCAAGTTCAGTCAACGTTGGATTAACAGCAGTACCAGGCTGGATACTACACAAGTATCAGATACTCACATAGGTGCCGCTCAATGCCCTATCTCTTTAATTCCTCCATTAGCGTGTCCAAAAGCCTTCAATCGCGTGGCTGATCGGTGCCATGCAAATGGTAGGGTGCGTGACCATATTAGATCATGCACCGATTTCGGCACCGCTTCAACTTACACCCCTCCACATCATGGGTACCAATACCACCACTACCGCTGCTACATATTCTGCATCGACGACGTTTGCTCAAAATGGAATGCGATTGTCTTCAGATGAACTAGTGTGTTTTCGGAGGAATCGGGTCCGCCGAAAGGGACTGTCTCATAGTCAAGAGGGGAGAATGCCGTACGTTAGAGGATGTGGACATTGAGGTTAGATATGCGTTTCCTTCACAGACAGTGTATCGCGACATTCAATATTGGAGAGTACGGAATTACATTCTCCGCTCTAGCTCACCCGTGCTAATGTCTTCTGCAGCCTATTAAACCTTTTCTACTCGGCTCACTCGACGAACTTCACACAATATCTCTCTGTGAAGAGTATCTGAGGAAGCATACCGTGAGATGCTCACCCAAAGACATGGTTGAAGACTATATTGGAGAGTCTGGCAGCCGTATAGATCTTATATTGACATCCTTTTGTAATTGACATCCGCTTGGTTTGGAAACATTCCGTCCCTGCTGACATGACCCTCGCTCGCACCAGATGAACCACCTCCTGGTACGTCTCAAATGATTGGTGAAATCTGCAGTTAAGACTAATCCATATTTATAAGACCGAGCTTGTATGACGTTAAAGGGGAAAGTGCTCGACAAGAGGATAGTGATTCTCACGAAAAAGAAACGTAAAACGTCCCGCCCCCCGAACACAATCTATCTGACCAAAGATATCGTCAAAACGCTTAATCTGCAGGACATAGGCTGTGGCTTCGCTTCGCTGGAGTTCCGTAAGAATTTCTCCGCCGTGGTTGCAGATTTTAAGAATTGGTACCAATCCGGCGTGCTTGTGATACAAGCGGGGAAAGGTTAGTGTTGGGTAATGCTAGTACGAATCGTTTACAGAATGTGTATGTCTCTTCAGATGCAGCATCGCTCATGCTTTATGTTTTTCTCAGAAGATTATCTAAAGGCCAACCGACAGTTATTGCCACGGCACCAGATTCACTATATTTTTTTTTCATGGAACGTTTGCGGCAGGTTGCCTATCCAGGAGGCTCTTAACCTTCCCGACAACACCTGGGTTTTAGTGCATCTCAAGGACGAGAATTCGAAGCTGTTTACGGAGGAGCTCTTTCCACTCATGCCTCTTGCTGCATGGAACCTAATTTTTGTGGATTCTCTGAGCGGCGATTTCTATTCGGAAATTATGATAATGCCAAATTTGTTCATCTTGTTCACTAAATATCTTCGAGACGGCGCGAAGCTTGTATTGTCTTAATATATAACAATGCTGTTTCCTACTAGTTAAGGAACAGACCTCATTATCATTATGTATACTGTGACGCAATTTCTGGAGGTTTTCGCATAGCAAAGTATTAACTGTCAATGAATTCTCATATCAGGTACTTGCTCTACCACGGGCCAACTCTCTATGTTCGTTCTCTAACAATGATTTCCAACGACACCGGTCAAGATATATGCGCCCCTGTACGGTAGTATATTACATCGCAGTTATCACCATGGTCTGTTGGTCTAGAGGTATGATTCCTTCTTAGGGTTGTTGTTTCAGCCGTTTGAAGGAGGTCCTGGGTTCAATTCCTGGATGGATCCATTTTTACCTGGATTTATTAGGTTGGGTTTATCAGATCCTGGGTCCAATTCCCGGATAGACCTTTTAAATTCTTTTTCTATTGGGAACTTGAGATGGAATATATACGAGTGAACCGTCTCGCGATAGTGCAACAAACTGAAAAAACTTCTGAATACAGTGACATTGTACTGAGGTGAGAATCGCTTCCGCTCTTTTTATTACAATTCTGAAGATTCAATACTTCGGAAAGCATTGCTATCTGTAAATCAACCCTAAAAGCTTGCCGCAATAACCGGCGCTTCGTATTTTCTACGGATACTCCCGCAACCACCCGCATACATTCCAGTATAACACAGAATAAAGATATAAACTCATCCCTAAAAGTGGCTCCCTATGTTGAACTGCATTTTACATTTTGTGTTGCTTCATATTTCAAAGTTCTTAGAGGGGTAAGTAAAACTTTATCTTAGGTTGTACATGCGGGGTCACTACTCACCCGGCGGTAGCAAACAACAGACAACAGAACATCTCCACGAAAAACAGCCCAATTCCCACAAAAGGCGTTGAGAACCACTGGGTGTCCAACTGCAGGGTGTCCTGAGGCCCCCATTAAAATGCTACACCGTTCAACTAAATATGTGTTTTATTATTTAAATTCTCTCAAAAACTCTACATCAGTTTTAATAAACCTCAAAACAAAGACATTATTTGCATGCTCTCTCTGCGTCGGAATCTAGTAACTAACGTATCTCTTTGAATAATTTTTAAAGGCCGGTGTATAAGTATAATTTGCCTTGCAAGTACGCATAAGGAACTCACCTCATTTTCACTCTGTAAACTTGCGTATCTTTCTTGCAGCATATTCTTTAAGTTATCGACTTCAATCTAGTAAAGGATAGACGTGGTTAGTTATCGGCGTTCAGACGAACTCTATTGAGTCACCTTCAAATTCTTCACTTCTTCTGTATAGATATATCAGCAACCCACCTTCGGCACCTGTCTTTATCTCTGGGGTTGCCACTGCCGCTGTTTCTAAGGTAAGCCTTCATCATTTTAAAGAAGTGGAAAAATAATATACCTTGTTGTATCTAGATGTGATGCTCGAAATAAAACTCAAAAACCACAAAAGGTTCGTCTTTATCACGAATAGAAGTTCTACCACCACGACGATATACAAAGAAAACCGCATTCCCTAAGTCATCGGAGCCTAACCCAAACTTCTATGAGTTTTTTTACAAATAAATAAAGTATGCCGGCTTACTACATTGCGAATTTTGGGCTTTAACCCTTCGTGCCTTCTCTCGAAATATCTGCTTTGCACTCCTCCTAACCTGAACTTAACCCTATCGATTTCCTTGGCTTTCTCTAGGTCCTCAACATGCTTGATAGAATAGATAGGATCTGAAGGCATGATAAAGAGACTGAGATATAGCGAATAGCGGAAAGGTTGGGAAGAGAGCACGGGAGTGGGCGAATGTCAGACGGGAAGGTATGAGCTGTGATCAAACTTGTTGTCACAGGGAGACGAATATATAGATTATATACATGTTAGAGTCGCTATGATAGGTAAGCGAGGAAGGAAGACGAAACAGCCAAACAAAGAGACAAGGCGTACAAATGGTTCTTGCTCCTGCTCGTCATTTGAATAAGATATGAAAGGAACAAATGAATCAAAAAGGAATAAAGGAACATGCTGGAGCATGTCAAAATGAATAAACCGGATAGTACAATGAAATTAAGAAAAGGCAAGAAGAACGAGAAAAGAATAAACAGACAGCATGGCGCTGCAGGAAGGAAATTTGGTCGGATTCTGGTTTTGCCATGGGACCCATGCCGGATAATTCCCTCCCTCCCTCCATACACAATGACACAGCCTAATAATGCTCAATTGTTCCCAATAAAGTATCATAGATAATCTGAATCTGAAAATCTCAAGTGACGACTGGCAGATGCAGAGGCGGAGGCGGAGGCGGAGGCCTGAGGATCTGAATTTGTAAATTTTGATATTAAATTGAAAGAATCAAGAATCGAGCCAACGACCCCAAAAGGCATAAGATTGCCCAATGATGAATCGATCGGGAGGCCTTTGAAATTCTAGGAAATTGAGCATTGAAACCCGAAACTTTGAAAGGCGAGATGCTGCATCACCGCCCATCAAATGGTTAAATTCAATCAGCATGTGCCGCTAACCCCACCCGCCCCCTCTACTCAACGCTCACCCGTGCAATAAATATTTGGTTAAATTCAATGCGCTTGCGCCAACAACGCTCTTCTCAACGCTTAGCTTATGCGCATTAACCCTCTTCGAGGATCATGATTTGGCGCGTCGAATGGCGTCTCTTGGTGCATTCTTGGCATGAAGACGACAGAGCTTGAATCAGACTCACCACTGGTGGAAAGGATAACACCCAAACAAGCAGCAGAGGCCGCATCGGATACAGGTGTGGACAGAGTCGTAGGAGCAGCCGAGCTCTCAGCAGTCGCACTTGAACCCGCACTGGGACCATCGGCGCGGACCATCGGCACGAACCAGGAACACGTGAAATAATAACACAAAGAAGCAGCAGCGGAGCACCGGCCGCACTAGCTATGTAACAACCACCGCAACGCGTGATGCGACGAGACGACGCAAGCAAGTCCGAATCTACAGGGACATCGTCATTGGCGGCCGGCGTGCCTGCGGTTTTCTGCGTTTCGCGGATACAGAGGCAAGCTGTACCTGATGACGTTGTTGTATGTAGGCGTGCAAGTATACCGACGGCGGTGTCTTCAACGACGGCGGGATGGAGCGCTGGCCAGATTGGGACTCGAATGTGAAGAGACTAAGAGCACAGCGATTAGTTGGGTGCTTAGCAAGGGATCGCTGTTTACGTTGCAGTAGCAGCCATCGACGACGCGTTGCAGAACATCTTTCGTCATCTGTTATAGAAGTCCCCGTGGTAGCCGTAGTCTGGCGTCGCCGTTAGCGAAGCTGTGGAAATAACGTTGTTAGCATATGAGGTCTTGGCAGAGAGAGGAGACGGAATGAGGAAGTAGATGTAAGGGTCTGAAGATAGTATGTAATGGACGGATGGAACGGAAGGATGCGGTAGGATAGGATGGAATGGAAGGTGGACGGGATGGGATCCCGACGAAAGGCAAAAGAGACGGAATGCGACGAGACGGAATGGAGCAAGATGAAGGAAAAAAAGACATATACTTCGGATTCAAAGTCTGCGAGTTGAAGTGTTCCTAGACCTATACTCCCAGTCGAACTACAGAGATCACAACACAAACGTTAGTGTTAATTCTTTACGATGTCATCAGGGATAATGAGCATGGAAGAAACTATCATGGAAGAACGTGTGTAACGGTCATGTAGAACCAGAAGCGCATCACAACGTATCTTTAAATAGCGTCGCAAAAGGTGAGAAGGCCTCGATCCTCATGAAATAGCATCCGATAGCCAGACTCATCCACCAAACCCTAATACCAAACCGAGGATGAAACCGAGTTATCTTGAAAACCTATCTCCAACAAAAATATTCTCGGCAGCGTAACCGGTAAACTAGGCTCAACACACATCTTCAAGCCAGGTTCACTTGAAGGTAACGCAATGTATGATTTATACACAGGCGAGTCGTCGTTATCGTCCCAAGCAGGAGGAAGAGTTCTATAATCGAAGGAGGATTAGAGTGGTGTTAAGAGGATGGGGTTAATGAGAGACAGACTCTAGGATCATCCAGCCGACCAAGACCGAAAGAACGGAAAACAAAGTAAAAGCACTCACAATCTGACTCCGTATACCACTATGACACGAGATCCCCACACGATGATGCAACTGATTATACCTCAAGGTGCACATGAAGTCCAGCATAGGAAAGCGAGAGCGAGTTGGGTGAAGGAGCTGGTGGTGTAGGTGGGAAGGATCATATTGCCTGATATCGTTCGGAATTTCGGAATTGGATAATGTTCGATGTCCTTTATTAGAGCGTCGGTTTGAGCCTTGAGGTCGTCGGGTGGGTGCCATATATCCCATTGCCAAGTATCCACCCAGAGGCTCTTGATACACGTATATTGCAGCTTGCTAGTCTTCTTCACGATCCATTTCCAAACAATGTTCGATGCTCCTGAGTCAACGTCCGCCGGCACCCTTCAAGGATCCAACTTGAACAATCCCAAGTCGTTTGCTACGCGTATAACGACCGCGGTTTGACTCTTCTTCAACGTTCAACGTTCGACCCAAGCCACCCATGCCAACGTAACCCATCCTCTTATTCAACATCCAGCACCCCTCGTTCCAACATCCAAACCCAAATCAACGCATGATCCAGCTGTTCTCGTATCGCGAATACTCCAGCAGGATAGCCTTGAACCTGATTGCTTGTCGCCATGGTCTCGAGCTGCAGCGTAACAAGTTCTCGAGAGTCGTGATGAAGCCTAAGCCTAGCTAGGCCTATCCAATAACGATCGCCTCCAGTCAAAAGATGGAGCGTTGCTGGTGTCGTCGTCATTTGTCAGCGTAGAGAACAGTGGTCATTGGTCAAGCGAATGAGGCGAGTGGCGGCTGACACACCATCGTCCAATCAGAATATTCTTCCTTCCCTCGCTGCTGCAGCGCACTCGTTGAAATAACAAAATAAGCATTCTCGCATTATTTAATTCTGCATTCAGGCGCATCAGACAACCAAAATTCCACCACAAAACCATATATTCTAACAAAAAGATCTACCACAGGCAGCAGCACAAAAAAGGACAGCTCAACGCGACCACACCAACAACAAAAGAATTGACAAGAAGCAGTAGTGGTAGTAAGAAGGTGCAAAGCGCGTCAAGACCACATTTGATCAAAAGTGACTCTGACTAGAGAGGGTGGAGTAAACGTGACTGGACGTTCGAGGGACAAGGTAAGGGGGTGATAAGGATATATGGGTGGGATGGGGAGATTTTGACATATGTATAGAACGATATGATGTGATAGGAAGGAGGAAAACGTATAATGAACATGAAAGCAATGCACTAAACGGGAAAATAGCGAGAG